AAAAATGAAACTAATAATTTCTAACTTAAAGATTTATACATCTGAACGCCTTTATACTTATAGCACATATATTTCCAAATTGTCATCTAAAATTCAAATAATAGAACAGTGAATGGTAGCAAATAATTTATGGAGAAGTGCATTCCATTGAATTTCTAGCAATTATTCTACTACAATACTTAATTAATTCATATCAAGTTTACGATCAGCGTTGTCTTGGCATATCTTTTGTCATTTCAACAATACAATAATTGTCAATAATTTAAAACAATATAAACTAGTATAAACATTTTGCACGTTTGAAATCGAATGACTCCAAGGGACACCACCTAGTAGTAACGGTTCACACTCCGCGTTTATCAGCGAATCTTGTTACTGAATTTCCTGATATTCCTAGAGTATCATACACTCTCGGTATACGCGAGAGCAGTAGGTACCAGTTAGTCTTTCACGTATTTAACGATATCTGGAAGGTAGAGATTAGTCGCCTAGTTCTTTTCAGTCAATAGATTGGTAAGTAAATGAGCTCCACAATCCTCGCGGCCATTATTTTGCACGCAAATGCGTGAACAGAGGCAGTCTTTAATAAAGCAATTTAGGTTTCCACGGCCGGAATTACAATTAGATTTATATTCCGGCCTGGATGGCCGCGTTCTCATGGCAGATGACCTGTCAATCACCTGCGACCTGTCTTGAAGGATACTTCCAGCACGATCACTCGGACACTGATAACGCCCGCCGCATTTGTAGACGAAATGTATGGGAGCACCATTTCCACTAGACCACATCCATCGAACCTGAAAGACAATTCCAAATAGAAGCAGTCTTCGGGCTAGGGCGCATCGATCGGTACATGACCCCGTCTAGAAGACTAAATCCAAAGCAAAGGTAGGCGCACATCCTTCAGGTTAATTAAACACGACTCCTAAGGAGAATCAGAAGCTCTCTAGTTGTAGTCGGTCACGGTCGGTTTTGTCCGGCCTGTCCAGACGAAGAGGCAATTCTGAATTCACGAATCCGAATCACGATTCATGAATCCTCAGCATGATTGTGCTCTGTAAGACACGCTCCTACGATCCTTATCTATAGCCGAAGCATCTGGTGCCGATAACCGTGACTAGGTAGTGTGGTTGCCTATGAAGAAGTCTCAATTTGGAGAGTAATTGTCTGTGGGCACTGAAATGTAGGAAGACGAAGACAGAATCACATAAGCTTGGAATAACTGCGAAAAATTGACACGCCTGAAGTGTGTGTGAGGAAGAACGGTATAATAGTTGTAGGCGAAGAGGGTGGAGACAAGAACATATCAAAAGGCCGGATTCGGAGGAGTGCGAAAAGAACTAAATAATGAGATGGAGGATTGAGAGACAAAAGAGTTTTAGATAGAGGAGATTATGTTGAGCATTTTTTTCCCGTTCCATTTCTCCGCCGGGACCAAGGCGATTCACTGTGAACACAACCCGTTGGAGGGTTGTTGTTGTTATTGTTATTATTCTATTTTTGTATTGATTGATAGCGAGTTTTTGTATTGTATTGATTGATTTAGGGCATGTCAACTGCTAAGGTCATTAGTCACGTGAGTGTAGTGTGTGTGTTTTCTTACGAGATTTCGCCCCGCGGAATGATTAGATACGGCGCTGATATACCGTCGGCTAACGGGCTTTTCCACAACTAGGTATCTCTCGCCAGTGAGGCACCGACGCAGTTGGGACGAGTTCTATATTCCCGGCCGGTTTGGCGTGTGTGTTAGAGTAGTATAAGTATGTGTAAGGGGTCAGTATAGGACAAGGAAGAGGTAGGAAAGATAGCGCGCGGTCTGTGGCCCGTTTGTTAGAGAACTGCTCAGGTTTTCGCATAGAACTGATCGGAGAAACCACGGAAAACTACCGATCAAAGTAGCTGACCGCTAGAATTCTCCTCCAGACAGAGCCTGAATCCGACATAACTGACCGCTAGTAAAAAAATGCCACCGTCGGGACTCCAACCTTCGATTTCCCAACCAGAGGCACAGCCGTGCTATCGGTTGATAGCGGCGGGGAGCGGCACGGGGCGGCGC